GAGTGGGATGTGTAGCTATAAGCCGGTGGCGTGCGTCGTGAGTTGTATCGAAGAACAGAAACTCAAAACTGAATCCCAACAAACATACCTCGCTACCGTTCTTCTTCTACCTCCGACTTCGACCGGCTTCTCCTTCCCTTCCCCTCTCCTGGTGCTAACACGGTATATACAATATTTAGTCATGCATGCATGCATGGGCGTGTATTTAACCTTGTCCGCCGGTAACTGCTGGCTGTCACTGTGCTTCACGTCAATCAGACGGAATGGTCACCGTCGTCATTGCCTCGTCGTCGCCGACGACGAACTATTCGTCCATCCGGAGGTAGTGGTTCTGCACGCATGGACGGCTGGCTAGCTAGCTCGCTCGGTCAGCTGACGCTTCTAGCGTGCTTTCATTTAATACGAGAAGCTAGATATTGCTTGAGCAATCACTTGCGTGATCCTGATTAGGACGTGGCTCCTTCTCAAACCACATGACTCCAAGATGTCTACCAACTAGAAATCATCCATAATTGCCCAAGGTATCAATGTACCATTTCGTCCAACAAGGAGGAGTGGTGATCCATTGCCTTGCTTGGCCGGCTGGTTCTGGCTAGATGGTTTTATAACGCACATGGGAGTCGCCACCACTTTGAATTCTAGAAGTGAATGCATTTTAGTGTAAACTTACCTTACCTTAGGTATGTACTCCCCCTCAATTCCAAATTGTAAGTTATCCTGGCTTTTCTAGATACACAACTTTTACTATGCATCTAAATATACATTATGTCTACGTAGTACAATCAACATATCTAGAAAAGTCAGAACGACTTACAATTTTCTTTACTTGGATATATAAGCACAAAGAGTTTGAGAACTTGACAATTATTTTGGGGGAACTGAGTTTTTGCGGGGGGTGACTACAAAGAGCAACTCCAACAATAGCTCTTAAATTAGGGTCCCTACTTTTCATTTAACGGCCCCCTTTATTTTTAGGGTCTGTTTTCTTTACATACTCTAGCGACCTAGTCGTCATCTAGCCATATCCACTGTTGTTATATATAATCGACTGAGCTATGCTGGCACCGGAGAGGAGGAGAAGAGCACTGGAGATGGCACGGTAGGGTGAGGAGCACCAGGCGCGGGGAGGGGAGCCACGGCGGGGTTAAGTGCCTCACCGCGTGGAGAGGAACCGTATCGAATGGGCCTCGCCGGGCCGGGACGTGCACCAGGGAGGGGAGCTGCACCGGTCCAAGAGGCTTGGCCGGGGGAGCTGCGTTGAGAGAGGGGGATAGGGCAGCGACGCGAGAGAGAGTCAACGAAAAAAGACCCTGTAGGAGTGAGTTTGTTTGAGGAAAATTTTCCTGAAAGAAGTAGGATACATATCATTGGGAGATGGGGCGGAAGGAGAGATTTATTTAGAGGTCTCCATAAAATAGGAATTTTTGTTGAGGCTGGTGGGTAAAGTTTTTTTCTGGCGCTAAAAAATAGTACAAGGCCCTATTTAAGGTCCCTATTAAAGATGCTCCCAGATCGATCGGAGTAGCTATTTGTTGTCACCTGCATATTATAAACAACAACAAAAGAAAAAGGAAAGAAAGAAAAGAAGATTCAAGCCAAGGGTTCAAAAATGGTCGGAGCATGGCATATTTTGTCAACTTTTATAATATAACACCAGCATCATCCTTCTGATTACTAGAAATGTGTGTGACTACTACTTAAAGGCAGCGACATTGGATATCGTTGCATCATGGGTACGATACATTTATATATTAGAGCATGTTTCGATACATGACCTAGATAATTACTCCCTCCGTTCCAAATTATAAGTTATTTTGATTTTTTTACATCAATTTTGCTATATATCTGGATATAATAATATGTCTATATACATAGCAAAATGGATGAACTAAAAAAATCAAAATAACTTATAATTTGGAACAGATGGAGTAATAAATTAGGTCTAGTACACCCAAACATGAGAGCTAATATATGAGCTAATTTTAGCCAAGTTTTCAACTGGTTGTTAGCCAACTAGCTAGCTAACTCTACCTAGTTAGGTTAAATTTTTAGCACTAACTAGTAACTACTCCCTCTATTTCAAATTGTAAGTCATTTTAACTTTTCTAGATTCATGCTTTGATTATGTATCTAGACACAAGTGTATATCTAGATGCATAGTAAAAACACTGCACCTAGAAACGTCAAAACGACTTATAATTTGAAATGGCCGTGTATTAACATATGTACATGGGACCCACCGCTCAAGAACTAAGCCACACTGGGGGATTCACCCTATATGGCATGTGTGAGTCGGACATATATACAGTGGGCCGAGACCTGTTTGGATCTGAATAATGACAGCATGCAATAAGTAACGAGACCTGGATGATATCTCTAAATAAGCGTGAGACCTACTGAAACTAGCATTATCAAATTAAAGTTTGAGACCTAAATAACATATCTGAATAAGCCTGAGAACATGAAAACGTAATTTGGCAGTCGAAGGAACTGAAATGTTACCTGAAGACAAGTTCATCACCGCTCTTTTTTTTTTGGGTACCGTAAAGCATTACACTCATCTAACTGTTCGTTATTAGTGTCCGCATGAACTAACCGCGCACCTTGGATTATGGTTTAATTTCTGGATGAACCACGCACCTTAGGCATTAGGGTTAGGAATCAGTATTTGGCATTGTAGCACTTTCGTTTGTATTTGATAATTATTGTCCAATTATGGCCTAACTAGGCTTAAAAGATTCGTCTCGTAATTTACAATCAAACTGTGTAATTAGTTATTTTTTTATCTACATTTAATACTCCATGCATGTGTCCAAAGATTTGATATGATGAAGAGAGAGTGAAAAAACTTGTAATCTAAACAAGGCCTTAATTGGCTTAAATTAGGTTTGACAGGTGACGTGGAAGAATTAGATGTTCTCGTACGAAGCAAGATTCATCTGAAGTAACTTTGATGGAGTCTCTGTCACCTTTTGATTCTCACTGCCTATTCGATCGTTCTTGGAGCCTGACACGATCGTTGGTTAAACAAAAAAAACTCTGTCGTGTGCCACCAAGTACTGTATTAGATTTACCTGTCGGTGGTATGATACCCTGATCTGAACTGTCAACGCGCGATTTCCACGATGGCGCGTCACCCGTCCTAAAGTGGATCGTCCTACGTGGCGACCAAGCGGCACGAGCACTTGTACCGCCCTGACCCATCATCCATTAGACTAATCCGCCTCATCTCGAGCCGTCCAAGCTAGTGGCCGCAGGATTACTAGCTAGTGGATTAGCGGCAGTCCGTGAAAAATAATCAAACGGTGACGAGATGGGTGGACTGGTGACACGGGCCGGCCGCTCTGATTCGGCCACGTGGGATGTGGGGCTGGACGGTTGCTGGGCCCCGTCGGTGACATCGGCGTCCCGTCCATCTGTTGCTTTCTCGCCCGGAACGCCAAAGCGAAGCTTGCCCGCTTTGGTATGGCTACCCAGAGGAGCACGAGTGTGCGTTCCTCATTCACACTCTGACACACGCGCACACAAAAAAAAGAGTGTGTGTTCCTCAACACACGCAGGAATTTTGCTCCGAGTTTTGGTTTTGGAGGATTCTACGGGAATCTGGTGCTGCGTCTAATTGCAAGTATATTGCTACACGTAAATAGTATCATGAGACAATTCATACAAGAAAAAAACAAACAAAAAGTTTTTCGTAGACTCTCTGCAATCTCTATCTTCTTGGCTCTTCAAAACTTCTTTACTCGCTCTCGATTATTGGAGAGGCTGCATCGATAGTACTCTCATATTTTTTTTTTGGCACAAGAAAATTGCGATGAGATATTGGAGTATAGAGAACAAAAAATTAGAGAGTCTGCTTTAAAACAAGAGTATATAAAGAAAATATTCATGTAAGGGCTCTCGCAATGTTTGGCAGTGTTTGGACTCCTCCAAAAATAGCTCCAGACTTTAGATCCTTCATAGAAGTGGCTTCTATGGTGGAGAAAAAAATCAAATTACTCTCCCTAAATTTGGCCTATGTTCAAATAATCCCACAAACTAACATTTGGTTCAATTTAGTCCCTCCAACTATTCCAGTCATCCAATTTACACCTTAAAAATTCTTTTTTGTTTCTCTATGTATAAATTGTGTTTTAGTTTCAAATTTAGAAAAAAAATATCTTAATTTTTATCCACTATTTTGTTAGCTTAGGAAATTTAATAATAAATTAACACTAGAGATACATGTTCCTTCTAAGAATGTGTGCCGTCATGTCGTTGTGAGTTAGAAATGGATGTATAACTAATTCAATTTATTTAACGTATTTCCTCTTTCCCAAAATAAATTCACATCTAGCACTATAAGGAGTCAACAAATTTTAAGTTTAACCAAATAATACAAAAATCATTAATGTTTATGATTCCAAATAAACATCATTAAATGAATCACATCATATATTTTCATAGTAAATCTATTTAAAGATATAAATATTTTAAAAAATTTAGTTAAACTTGAGAATATTTGACTTCTCGAAATGTGAGATATGCACTTATTTTGGGATCGAGGGAGTAAATATAAGGAGATGCACTGCAATGCAATAACATTTCAAAAGAAAAAAATACTCAGATTCACTAGGGAGGCATCATGGGGCATGTCCTTGGTGCACATTGCGCAACTGCACAAGTGGAGTGGATGGGGAACCCAAAAAAAAACGCAGAGAAGAGGAGCGAGCACGACTGCTGCAGCCTGCAGGAGCTATAAATACGATGGGGTCACCGTTTCCCAATCCCCTTCCCCGCCTCCCCTCCACGGCTCCACCTCCGACTCCGACCCGCCCGGCGCGCAGCGCGGCAGATCCCTGCCCTGTGTTCCATTCCATTCCAGAGATCAACTGATCGACCATTCCAGAGATTCCTTGCCCTGTATTCCAACCGTCTGACGGAAGTATCGAGGTCCAGGAATCCCGGCGGGCGAGGTGTCCGCGGAGGCGGCTCCGTCCGATCCCGACCGGCCGCCGGACATGGTGAGCCGCGGCGGCGCGCGCGGGCTGCTGGGCGCGTACGAGCTGGGGCGGACGCTCGGGGAGGGCAACTTCGGGAAGGTGAAGCAGGCGCGGCACCGAGGCAGCGGCGCGCAGTTCGCCGTCAAGATCCTGGACCGCGCCCGCGTCGTGTCGCAGCGCGCCGACGACCAGATACGCCGCGAGATCGCCACGCTCAAGCTGCTCGCGCACCCCAACGTCGTCCGCCTCCACGAGGTCCGTCCGTCCGTCACACACCACCCCTCCTGCCTGCTCAGCTCGTCGATTCGGGTTTTTCTCCGTCTCTAGATGATTCGGTTCAGTTCCGACTTCCGAGCCGAGCGTTTCGTTTCTCCGGCCGGGAAGAAATGGGATTTTCTTCCAGAAGCTACTACTCCGTATTTACTATTTCAAATCGATAGTATATATCCTGCGCGCGTAATTTGCAGCCGCATTAATTACTTGCAAGGGTAACATAGATTTGTTGCGTGTTCAAACCAAGTACTACTTCACCATTTCTAGATTCCCTTCTCCAAATTCCACCCATTTCTATCCCGGTTCGATCGATTTGAATAAGTAATAAAAGTGCCTGTTCGCCGTGATTCCTTGATTTTTTTTTTGAAAGGATGATTCCTTGATTTGCCTCACCCCGTTCGCTCTGATCATTTACGTGACGCTGTTTTAATATAAAAGAAAAATATTATAAATATGTCTCGTATGATCAAGCGATATGGGTGCTGGCCACAGCTGCTGCAACTTGGCCACTGGCCGCTGCCCCCTTTCTCTATTGGCTCGCTTGTCTTCTTCATCTACGTCTACCGCACGTGCACGGTGCACCCACCCTCTCACGCACCATTTTCACCGCTAGGGATTTTTGGAACGTGAAAATTGTACTGAAATTTCATGAAAATCTGTTTATATTCAAGGTAAAACGTAGGGGATATGAAAAACCACGCATTCCAAAGTGGGCCTAACTTACCTGCACGATTTTATATTTTACTTGGGCTTTATCATGTAGGAATAGGATTGTAATCAGTTTTTTTATGAAATATACTGTAGTTCCCATTACAATTGTAATTTTCCTCTGATTTTATTTAGTAATACAAATACGTGCTCGAGATGCCTCGTCCTCGCCTGTACTTAGGTGGTGTTTGGTTGCCTCTCCTAAGTTTTAGTCGATGTCTCATCGAATGTCTAAACATATGCATGGAGTATTAAGGCTCCGTTTGGTACGGCTCCACTTCACCCATGAAGTTCTTTTTTGGGGCTTCAGCTCCATGAACAGCTCTATGGGTGGAGCTGTAGCCGTTTTGATAAATCGTTTGGCAAAACAACTTCACATATAGTTTTTCTTAAAATATGCTCTTAGAGAACGCCATGTAGAATGAGGTGAAGCCGAGAGAAGCCACTATTTTTTGCTCCTTCCCACCCCAAAGCTCTGTGAGAGCACGTTTTTAAGGGCTTCATCGGTGGAGCCGTTTTATTTTACCCGTTTGGCGGAAAAGCGCTCCAAGCGGCTCCTCAAGCCGCTAGAGAAGCCCCTTAAAACGGAGCCTAAATATAGACTAATTACGAAACTAATTGCATAGTTTACGACTAATTATGTGAGACGAATCTTTTAAGTCTAATTAGTCCATGATTTGACAATGTGGTGCTACAAGAAATATGTGCTAATGACGGATTAATTAGTCTTAAAAATTAGCCTCGTGGAGTAATTGACGGATTATGTAATTTGTTTTTTATTAGTATCCGAACACCACATACAATATCCTCCCACACACCTCCTAAATTTTCATCACTAGATCCAAACACCACCTTACTAATTGATACTACAGCCTGTACACTTTACTTAAAAAAATGGTAGATCTCGAGAGTGATAAATAAATTAAGATTTACAGATATTTTAGTACATCAATTTAAACTAAAAATTTCGATGCCTTTCTCTCCATCTCAAAATAACTACACGATTTTTTAAAATTTAACTCGTATACAATGAAATATTATCAATATTTATATTTATAAATAAATTTATTATTAGAACATATCTTATAATTAATCTAATGATACTTATTAATATTAACTATTAGTATTTTTATATTTTTTATTAAACTTAGAAATATTTGTACTAACTACTTTAGTACAGTACTCTCTCCGTCCACGAAAGAACGTAATTCTCGAATTTTAAGGAATCAAACGGTAAATTTTGATTAAAATTATATAAAAATATACTAACACTAATGAAACAAAATAAGTATCGATAGATTAGTTATAGAATATATTTTTATAGTAAATTTATTTAGAGATATAAATGCTAATACTTTTTGCTAAAAACTAGTATGACCGGTATATATCCTATAATTATATTCTTTCGGGATGAGTATTTTGGAACGAGCGAGTAGTAGTCAATACTACTGGTATATTCTCCCTACCCATGGGCCCATACGGCCATACCCATGCACACGACAGAGACAGGCTCGTGGGTCCGCCTCGGCCTAGCCCATATATAGCGAGTAAAGAAGCTGAGCTGGTGGACACGGTGCTCCATGTCGCGCTGCTCCGGGTCCACCAATTATTGGCACGACCCAAGTACCCACTACCCATTAACTCCGGCCGTTTCTTCATCTTTGTTGGTTTCTAGAAAGGATGCATCGCGTTCGACTGGTACACTCACAGCTGGTCAACTATTTCAGCTTATTCTCTCTCACATAATACTATTTAATTATCTAAAATCATTCAAAAAAATCACTATTGAATGCACCAGCCGAACACAGGACATCTTTTCAGAAAGTATCCGGCTTGCAAGTTGCACCGAATGTAGTATCTGGGTTTGGGGCCTTCGTCTTTGATCCGTCTTGCAACGCCGTAGCTTGCATGCCATGGGTTGCTACCGGTGACTGCGACATTCAGTGCCATTCGTGGTTGGCTGGTTCGTATTGTTGTTGGTTTATTTATATGAGATTTATATGAGAGAGAAGTACTGCTGGCAGGTTCATGTAAATAGTGCCCATGTGAGGAGGCTAGTCAGCCAGCCCAGCTAGCCAGCCCCAGTCGGACGGAAGTGGGAAATAATCCTGTAGTGGGAAAGAATCCTGTAGTTTTCCAAAGGGATTTCCCAATCCGTGACCTCATTTTTCTTTCCTCCGGAAGTGGGAAAGAATCCTGTAGTTTTCCAAAGGGATTTCCCAATCCGTGACCTCATTTTTCTTTCCTCCGGAAGTGGGAAAGAATCCTGTAGTTTTCCAAAGGGATTTCCTGACGCGCATGCCTTTAGAGCCCAACCTGTTAATCTATGATATGGTGACGTTCCTGATCATGTATTTACTACTACCTCCTGATTCAGATCGCTGCTAGCAAGACCAAGATTTACATGGTGCTTGAGCTCGTCAATGGGGGCGAACTGTTCGACAGGATTGTAAGCCCACGAATGAAACTCTCTCTATTCTTCCCATCTATGCGTTCTACCTCCCGTGTTCAGGATAGATTCCTTTTCCCATGCTGTTACTTCTATAATAGGCATCTGAATCCCCCTGTTGCTTTCTTTGCTGCAACTGAACAGGCCAGCAAGGGAAAACTACCGGAGCAAGAAGCAAGGAGGCTCTTTCAGCAGCTGATTGATGGTGTCGGCTATTGCCACGAAAAGGGCGTCTATCATAGAGACCTCAAGGTGCCAGATGTTTCTCATTCTGTTCCCGTGATGTCACTCCTATCAATTCTGTTTTGTTATTCTGTGGCCCTGTTTTTTTCTAACCCGCTCCAATGTTACAGCCGGAGAACGTTCTTGTTGACCGAAAAGGAAACATCAAGATCTCTGATTTTGGTCTAAGTGCTTTACCGCAACATCTCGGGGTATATGATGGAATAGTTCTTTAAACTGAGCTCTCTCAAATGATTTCCAAAGTTGATCACTCATCGAATTGCATGATATGTTACTTTCAGAATGATGGATTGCTGCATACAACCTGTGGTAGCCCCAATTACATTGCCCCTGAGGTGAAAAGCCTGACTACTCCCAGACGAAACAGTTCCTGTTGTGCAGTTGCTAACTTCATGTGCCAAATGCCTGCAGGTTCTGCAGAACAGAGGATACGATGGATCATTATCGGATATCTGGTCTTGTGGAGTGATTCTTTATATAATGCTCGTAGGTTATCTTCCGTTTGATGACCGAAACATTGTTGTTCTTTATCAGAAGGTACTCATTCAGATAAAAGTGAAGTGATCTTTATAGTTCAGTTCCAGTACTTCTCTAACACCATTTTAACTTTTCTACTTTTACCTTGCCGGGTCTAGATTTTTAAGGGTGATACTCAGATCCCAGAGTGGCTTTCTCCTGGTGTACAAAATCTTCTTCGGAGGATTCTTGAACCCAACCCGATGAAGCGGATCACCATGGCAGAGATCAAGGCATACGAATGGTTTCAGGAGGACTATGTCCCTGCTCTTCCGTACGACAACGATGATGAAGATTCAGAGCTTTATATAGCTCATCAGGTCAAAGAGGTACATACATATGGACAAACTGCCTGAAAAGTAGTAGTATGTATGTCGTGAAAGTAAACACCCATCATTCATATTTGGTTTCCCTTTTTTTCCACCTGAAGCAAATCAGTGAACCACCTGAAGATAAAACTACTCATCAGATCAACGCGTTTCAGTTGATTGGAATGGCATCATCCCTAGATCTTTCAGGTTTTTTTGAGGAAGAGGTATGGGAAACATCTTGGAAATTTCTTTCCAGCACAGTGATTGCCTTGCTCAAAACAATTTAAGGCAAAAAAAGAAGTTTCGTCATCACAACTGCAGTAATGATCTACACACTGAATTCTACCTCATGAGCTCAGAGTAATTTTTTTTAAACTTGCTGCAGGACGTGTCCCAAAGGAAGATCAGGTTCACATCAACACACCCACCTGAGGATTTGTTTGACAAGATCGAAAATTCTGCAAGTGAAATGGGCTTCCATGTTCACAGAGGCCACAGTAAGGTCAGTACAGTGTACAGACTTTCCATCAACCACAACACTATACACATACTGACATTACATTCAACGTTGATGTGTGTGATTTTTCAGCTTAAGATGACGCAAAACTGCAACGGATCAGTGAATCAAAAGAATCCTGTTCCTGTGTCGTTTCTAGTCTGGACTGAGGTAAAATGCAACAGACTGCACTCCTGTTGTCAGGAAAAGTCTCTGACAGGTCGGCTAACAATGAAATGTTGTGCTATCTGTGATCCCAGGTATTTGAGCTTAGCCCCTCTTTGTACGTCGTAGAGCTCAAGAAGTCCCATGGTGATCCTGCATTGTACAGACAGGTAAAAACAGCTGCACTTGTCACTTTCATGGCTTCATAACCGAACAAACATCAACAGTTCAAGTGACTAAGTGACCCTGCTTCTTGAAATGTGTCTGCAGTTCTGTGAGAGGATCTGCAGTGACCTGGGTGTGCTCAAGATGGATCAGATCTTTGGGACGAGACCGATCGCCGATGATCTTGCAAGCTTGGACAAACGATCTGTGACACCTTTGGTTGCATTGTGACGAAGGCTGCCCCCCTGACGTGATGTAGCGTGAGATTTAGTGAAGACGAAGCAGTTCAGCTGCAACGCAGCTAGGAACGATTGTATTGTAAGTAGGATCATAATCCACCAGAAATAGAGGAGAAGATAAAAGAGTAGGATCATACTCCAATGTAAATAAAGTAGTAGTCACCGATGTAAAACAGAATGTAAATTCTAAGAAATAAATTGTTTTCGGTGGCATACACAATCTCCACATTCACTAATTACCGGTGGCTCATTTCTTTTTAACGTGGATGCAATGTACGTACTTCCTGTCTTCAAATTATAAGATGTTCATCTTTTCTGGATACATAGTTTTTACTACGCACCTAGTAGATATATATTTTATTTAGATACATAGTATTATGTATCTAAAAAAGTCGAACATATTATGATTTGAAGCAGGGGAGTATTTCATCAAGATGGAATACAAAATAAAATTAACTTAACGTATTTCATTAATAATGAATGGTGGTGGGTGCACACCTCACAAAAACTGTCTTTAGGACTCCTTTGGATGGTAGGATTCTCAATAGGATTTTGGAGAATTCTAACCCTTAGGAAATTTTCCCTTAAATGAAGAGCCCTTTCGAACAAATGAGCATGGTTGTTAAATTCCTATGAATTTTCTATTTAGTGACTTGTTTAATACGAATTTTAGAGGATTCCTAACAGGATGCCCAACCTCTTGGGAACTTCCCATTGTGTCTATCTCTTGCCAACCCTATATTAGGTATAGTTTTCTTGTGCTTTTCCATTTGCATTAGATCCAATACTATTTTTCCTATCTATGTGTTTTTGAGAATCATAGGTTCTAAAGAAATCCTTGTATGAAAAAGTATATTTTGTTACCCGAATAATCTCTTTGTCCGTAGATGTTACCAGTTCATAGCAGTCCTGTGTTTTTCTTATTAACTTGTTCTAAGAATCATTTGTTCAAAAAACCTTATCTAAAATAGATGAATTAAAATTTTAACACCCCAATAATATCTTAGCTTGTTTCACCGTGAACAAAATTTGGACTCAATTTTACTCCCCTTAATTATTTAAATCAGTCTTTAAGAAATTTTCATGCGCTCGTACCTTAGTGTGAAACTAGCATAGAAGTGCTCCTAACATATGAAAATATACAAAAAAAAAACATGCTATATTTTTGTAGTAATGACAACATGCCATCTGCGAACTGCTGTGAACTGAGCCTAACTCAGCTAGTTAGGTTCCTTGTATTGGAACCTGCCCACTCGGGTAAGTCATTGACTTGGCACGAGTGCTCGTATTTTTCTATTTTAGAATTTAATGGCGCTGTGCTTTCAGTGGAAGGCGACGTTTTCGTCGATAGCGATGCGCGTGTGGTGATTTCGTCAATCTCGAGATGTGTCGACACAATATTTCGGAGGTGCTCATAGGGGTAGAATTTGCATACGTGTGTTCATAGAGGTGAGTGTGCGTGCGTGTTGAGCATCTGCATCTGTACTTGTGTAATTCAAAAAAAATGCTCTCTACCATCCTAAAAAATTGAACTTAAATTTCAACTATACGAGGAGAAACAAAAACAAAACAGAAAATTTTCTTTGAAGACATTAGATTAGTTCAAATAATTGGGTAAAATGATCCAAAGTTTTGTTAGTGTCAAACCCCAAATTATATTATTTGGATTATAAAATGAATGTTTTACCGTTTTAATAACAAAAACCATGACCAACAGTAGAAATACCAACAGAAGGCGGAATGTGAGAAGTTCGTAAACATCAGGTAAGAGGCGCTTTCTAGCGCTTTACTCAAACGGCCGGACCCGAAGGCAACTAAGCACTGGTTGTCACACTTCCGCCGCCGCCTGCCCCCGTCGCCGCGATGCAGCATCACCTACGCCAATGCGGCGGCGGCGCCCTCGCCGCTCTGCGACGGCTCTGCCACAACGCTTCCTCTGCCGCAGCGTCGCCTCCTGCGGCCTGGAGGCGCCCCTGCCCTCCTCTCCGGCTATACTCCACCGCCGGTGAGCACCTCACCTCTCCCTCCTTGCTTTATCCCCTCTTTCAGCTTCGAGTTCGGGGGCGATAGTATGATAGCGCTGTTTATCACTTGATAACTTGGCTATTTTTTTTAAAAATGCTGCAAGAAGAGCAGAACGCTCTGGAAATCTTGTTTCAGTCCCCTTGTTTTTTTGCATCAGAGATGAGCCAGCAGTTGCCTGCGAACCTAGTGGGGATCATGGAGCAGAGAATGAAGTTGATCGAGCAGAGGAGCGCATACCTCCAGGAGCAAATTAACCAGGTAATTTCAGATGGGCAAAGCTTCTCTTTGAGAGTGGCATGGTTTACCATTGTGTAAGAATTAAGATAGCCTTGCTGCAATATCCTTGATGTGAGTTGGTGTTAATGAAGACAGCCAGCCGCCTCGCCCGAAGAGTACTCGAGGGCTAACAAGGAGTTCCATAAGCTGGAGAGCACCATGGAGTTGATCAAGGAGCTGAGATCGAAACAGGAGGTTGTAATCTTGTTACATTTTTGCAAGACACAACCTATTGTATGAACTATCAAGGATTTAGAGGAGTCTATATGTTTGTATTGTAGGAAATTGAGGGTCTCAAATCTTTGGTAACAAATGCTCGTGAACAGAAAGACATGCGTGAGATGGCAGCAGATGAAAGGGATTGTATATTGGAGGTGCGGGCAGGTAAACCAGATCTTGCCGTTGCACACACATGAGCACAATTCACCTTCCAGTTTTACTCTGTTATTGGGCAACAAGTGATTGACCGTGGTGTCGTATTTGCAGGAACTGGAGGAGAAGAGGCATCTTTGTTTGCAATGGATATATTTAGAATGTTGGTTATCTTGCTCGGCAGCAAGTGTATGTGATCCTCAGTCAGTGTTGCTAAACTCGATTCTTCTATGTTATAGGTACGAGAAATATGCTCAGAAGAATGGGTGGAAATTTGATGTCATTGACATAATGGAGTCTGCTGTGAAAGGATACAAGGTACAACCTTTGTTTGGATATATGCACATGGTTTTTCATTGTAGCCAAGATATTGTCACTATTTTAAGATTTGGAAGCTCAGAAACTCTTAATTCATATTTTCCTATTATTATTCATTTGTATGAAGGAAGCTAGTGGAACTATATCAGGATCCTGGGGCGTTTGGCAAACTAAAGTTTGAGAGTGGTTGTCGGTGTTTCGAGTTACCACCGACGAGTAAATTTCTAATATTGCGCGTCTGGCTCGGATGGTGTGCTTAGAGGACACGAGATTTATACTGGTTCGGGCAGAAAGTCCCTACGTCCAGTTCGTCGCTGCTGCTCATGTTACTAGCACTGAAAGTTTGTAGTAGAGGGTACAAACGGGCGAGAGGGAAAGGATCCCAAGTCTCTAATGAAAGGAGTGAACGGGTGCTGAGAGCTCGATTGCTGCTCAGCCGAGTGCTTGTGTCATGCTTCTTGTGTCGATCTTGATTGATCGATTTTAATCAGATCGCCCCCCCTTCATGGGACGTCCAGCTTTCCTTTTTATAGGCTAAGGGAAAGCACGGGTTACAGCGGAGGAAAAGAGAAGAACAAGAGAGAAGAAGTCCTTCAGGATCGCCGGGTCCTTCTCATCCTTCATGCGGGTCCCGCTGACCCTATAGATGTCAACAGGGACAGCTCCACGTCGCGGCCCTGTCCATTACTAGCGCCATGCGTAGACGTTGTCTGTCGGTCATGGCGTTCCATTCCGTCGCAGCGGACGTCGTGGTGAGCTGACGCGCCTGTCAGCGTTCGTACAGAGGTTAGGCAGAACAGCACCATTACGCCCTACGCTGTTCTTGATGTGAATCCTCAGGTATGGCCCGTCATGGCCACGGGTTACATCGGGGCGTGTCGGTCTCTTCCTTAGTGTCAGAGTTTTGACCTAGGCCCACACGCTTGGACCTAGAGTGGTTGACGGTGGTATGGGTCCCCGTCAGGCGAGACGAAGCCCGGGGCCTCGAGGTCAGGCGAGGCGGAGCCCGCGGCCTCGGGGTCGGGCGAGGCGGAACCCGTCCTCAGAGGTCGGGCGAGGCGGAACACGAACCCAAGGGTCGGGTGAGGCGGAGCCCGCGGCCTCAGGGTCGGGCGAGGTGGAGCCCAAACCCAAGGGTCGGGCGAGGCGGAGCCTACGGCATTAGGGTCGGGCGAGGCGAAGCCCGCGGCCTTGGGGTCGGGCAAGGCGAAGCCCGTGGCCTCGGGGTCGGGCGAGTCGGAGCCTTCGCGCTGTAGTCGCACTCTTGACTGCTCGGATGAATCAATATTGATGGTCATTAGCTCCTCTTCGGGTACCCTAGTATTGGTCCCCGATAATAGCCCCTGAGCCTGTGGAGGAGTATAATACTCCTTCGGAGGCTTTTCCAAACGGGAGGACTCTAAGGGCCTTGGCCTTTTCTTGTCGCCCACGACGTGTCCTGGGGACAGCGATTCCCTTTCGTCGTGATCGGGCCTCTTGGGGGTATAGCCGTGAGATTTGGTGGGTCGAAAAAGGTCTTTCCTGATTTCGACCCCTACGGGGGTCTGTCGTTCTGCGACCGTGCGTTTGGTCTCCTTGCGAGTCCAACTTTTCTCGAGCCCCCGCACGTAGCAGGGGTCCGGTCGAGGGTCGGCTCGTCTTCGTGATCGTCTTTCCTCAAGCGTTTTTTCCGATAAAAACGGAGGGGCTGAGCCGTGCCATGATTTTCCTCTATGGACGAGCCATGATGCTCGGTGAGTTGTTAACGGGCTAGTCCGAGTGGGGCCCTGGCATCCCGTTCGCGGGGGTCCGACCTGGGTCAGCTGGTGACCAACTCTAGATTCTCAGCGGTCAATCCATATAGTTCTCAGGTCCGTTCGATCGGTCCCGAGGGCTCTCTGCCATTCTTCGAGGAAAAAACATGGATCGTATCCGTCCGGGAGGCTCGAGCGTGGGCGGGGCGCCATGGTGCTCGTGTGCCCGTGTATTGGCCACTAGCGGGCCCATCCCTTTCCACCCCTCACTCGAAAAGTGCATACAATGGCGGTTGTCGAACTCAGCCGGTGGGCCAACCTTGAACTCCCACAGGCTTAGACGGGCGTCTGGCGAAGAAGTTTTATCCGTATCCCTCTTACACTGATGACGGGTCATGGCCCGTTCGGAGAGGTGAAACGTCCGGCGAGTTTTTTCGAGGGGTGGCCATAGGTTGTGTGCACACGCTCCACGACGAGACGTGGTGACGGTAAATGGCGAGAGTGGAGATCTAGGCGGGCGGTTGGTTTCACGCACTTTTGCCGTCGCCCCTATAAAACCAAAGTGTTAGCCCTTCGTGTTTCATACGCACTCCTGCATCCTTACCTCCGTAGCCCCGTCGCCGCCGCCAATCGCTTAGGTTTCCTGTCTCCGCATCCCCGCCTTCGTTGAGCTCGCATCCATCCGCCCCCACCTCTAATGGATCCGTGGTTCCATTCCGACATGTGGCAGAACCGCCCGAAATAACATATATTCGGAGGCGCTCGTCTTCCACCAGACACTATACATCCCGAAAGCAAGCTACATGGGATGGATTCCGTCGAGCACACCCCCAACGAGAGCTCGAATAATCCATATTTTTCCTTTGGGATCCAATAATGAGAACGCGTTTACAATACTTAGTTTATTTCATACCACCAGAGTTCTTAGAAATACACTATTGCAGTACCAAGTCAGAGTGCGGAATTTAAACAGCGGAATTACAATAAATATCTAACGGTAGAATACAAGGATCCGTCTGTGTCCACCGTAAGAATCATCCACACAATGACTATTCTTCAAGATGCACCTGCAATGAGGTAAATAAACCTGAAATACACAATGTACTCATAAGACTTATCCGACTAGTGGGAATAATTTTCCGACTCAAAAGGATATGATAAGCTTTATGGTTTGTCTTTGGGTTTTCTTTTTATGAAAACAATACTAGTAGTGAATCCTTATCTATATTTCTTATTAGCCGTCATGATTAGTTCATTATCTAACCACTCTAGGTAAGCACACATTTCTACTTTCAAGCAAGAGTTGAGCAAATGTATCCATTTCACCATCTTTCATCTTTCAGTTCTTACTACGGTGCTAGATTGTAGACAAGTCATACCGGATTACCCGGCGATTAAGTGAATCAATGTGCCCACTAGGTACCCGAAACACACGTCCCCGCTTGTACCCTGTGCACAAGCAGACCAACCCATCACTCTCATGTCAAGGGGTCTAGGTCCCCGTCCAAACTTGGACTCTAAGCCTCCACACCTGAGTCCTGGACTCAGTGTGGTGCTTAGACCTCCACCATCTCTACCTCCAATCAGGCGGTCCAGAAAGAGCCGGAACCCACGACAAGAGAGCAACGAGCCTTCCCTGCTCCCATAAACAAGTATGTGCTCAGGATAATAAGTGTGTGACCTGACTTGAATCCAATGCAACGGTCGGTTCTTAACCGACACGGACAGGAAAAATAGTGTAACCAAGCTATGCCCCATTGGCCGCAGGACGCAACCTTTTAGACCCACCAATAACCATACCATATCCCTGCCCGGTCTCTATTTTTCCTTTCACCATTTTATCATAAGAGTGATAATAATAATCACCTATTGTGAGTAAGGGCAGGTTACTCATGCTACCGAAAATCCTAAGCATAGCAGCTTCTCGCACATGTACTAGGACTCATAGGACAAATATATTTATGCAGGTGGTTTCCATAAAATGCCTGTAACGTAAATGCACATCATAGATATATATATTCAGTGCTTATTCAAAATAAGGGTTATGCACCGGGGCTTGCCTTGGGGCGGAACATGGTGTCAACTCGCTTAGTCCGTATGGCGGCTCAGGACCTCCTCGTACTCTTCAATCATCTCTTCGTACTCCTGCTCGCCCTCGGTCACGAACTCCACCAACTCGTTCTCTACATGCATGCAATGACGATGCAACACTCAATATTAAGGCAACAATAGTTCTTAAAATAAGAATACATCTACTAAGCCACTAAGCTAGCTCTAATGACTAAGATACCGAGCTAATCATCATTCCCATCAAACCAGCAGGGTTTCACCTACAAGTGCTACTTAGCAACTAAAATATATTCTTACTCTTCTTAACGATTTCCTGTATACTACAACAAGGAGTACTTAGCTACCATATTTCTCAACCTATTCTAAGGCTACAAAAATTACAGTGAGCACATAATAATACAATGAATCTACTGTAAAAATTTTTTGGTCAAAGCTATTACCAATTTGCCATAAAAATTCCTACAAATACTAATCTAAATAATACTAAACACTCACAAATGATTTAATAGCCGCTAGTATCAACAAATATATATGAACTAAATACACTAACAGATAGAGCATAATTTTTGGAACCTAACAAAATTGTTTTCACAATTTTTGGACACCTATACAAATTGATATTAATTTTCAAAGTTCAGCTTAGAAATTAAAATATAAAGCTATTTCTAATTCCTTAAGAAAAAGGAAAAACAAATTCCACCGCGCGGCCCATGCAGACGCGGCCCAATGCGAGGCGGCCCAGAACGAGGAGGCCCGCGCGCGCGACACATATGCAAAAACACCCCTAAACTCTGGGCAAACTAACCTGCAGTCCATGTCACTATTCATAGAGAGCAACTATGCAACGAAACCCTCGGAAACTCCCTCCTTTACAACGGCATGGCCCTCGGCCACCCGCGCACGCGCCGGTGCGGCGGCGATGGCATTGGATGGCAACGCCAGCCAGCTAGGACCCGCACTGGCTCCACTAACGGGCCGACCCTCGTCTACAACCCTAGCGCCTACACTAGCCTAGGTTACAGGAGAGACGGAGCTCGCGGAAGTGGTGACCACGGCGTGCGGCCATGCGCGACAGCGGCGCGGCCATGCCGGCCACCCAAAGCCACCGCGGGGTGAACTAGCTAGCGCTACAGCATCACTATCTTACCCTAGTTGCGGCTGCGGTGGTGGTTTGGCCGGAGATTCCCCGAACAGGGC